ATCTAGAAATTGACACGAATGAGTCGCAACACATACAATAATGTAATATGAATGTATATAAACTGATTTACATTCAATTGTTTTCCGTTTTTTACTCTGATATCAAAATCAGTTATGTTTGGCGAAATACGTCAGACGTCTCAATTGAATGGCAATCTCTAGCGTCTAGACTGATAGTATTTATTGTGCATGCTCTCCAGATAAGAATGGCGTCACCGTTTGACCAGACTTGTGGAATATGTCTAGCCTCGTCCTTGGAGTCCCTTGTCACAAATGGGACTGAAACGCATTATGTTACACGATTCATGGTAAAATGTTTATTTTGTCTTAAATAGTGGAATGGATACCAGAAGCCCATCGTCTTACATGCACATGTATGTATGCAATGAATTCTCCTCTAGCTTCAAAGAGAGGTAAGTCACATGACATAAACATGACCTGGTTTGATTGAATTTTTAGAGCAGTGCATTCCTTGGCAATTACGATGTTTGAGAAGGATTTGAAGCAAAATTATGACCAATTAATTAGTTTGAATATGTTTTTAGTCCATATATACCATTAAATCACCCAGTTTGTATGCGGGAATGTATCTTTCAAGTAGTTACATGTAAGTCTCTAACTCAACACCATCCAAAGTCTTACACGATAAAAATACTAATTATTTGTCAAGTCAAATTAACATTGATGTTATAATCTTACCAGGAAAAGGTGGGCTTCTGATATCCAATATTTAAGACAAAATAAACATTTTACCATTGGTACACGAATTGTGTACCATAGTGCGTTTCATGTCTAGAGGCTAGACATATTCCACAACTCATGTCAAATGGTAACGCCATATTTTATCTGGAGAGCATGCGCAATAGACTGGAATAACCAGATGCTAGAAATTGCTATTCGGTTGAGACTGATGCCGTATTTTGCTGGATATAACTGATTTGAAATTAAGAGTCAAAACGAAAACAATTGGATGTAAATCAGTTTATATACAATCAGATTACATTATTAGGCCGTGTTGAATTGATTCCTTGTTTCACCTCACCCGAACTCTTAGGTCGAGGACTGACAAGGAAAGCTGTCTAGTCATTCGGATGGGACGAAAAACCGAGGTCCCGTGTACACATTGGCGTGCACGTAAAAGATCCCTTGGCAGTTGGAATTCGATATAAGAGTAGGCCGTAGTGCCGCTGTCTGGGCAAAATTTCCCTCATAGCACACTGTATGGCGTATGCCCGTCTTCATTAGCCCAGGTTAGGAGCAGAACAGTAGGACGTTAAACTCCATTTCATTTCATTTCTTAGGTCGAGGACCCCTAATATCGTGCACTTACGTTCTTAACACGTTCTTAACTAAAGATCTTGATAATACACGTGTAGGGGCCCGCATACCATGGAAAAATTTACACTGTATTTGATCGGATGAATTCCGCAAAATGGCGCGTGTAGCAGCCATTTCAGCTAATGGGAAAGCATATTATAAACTGTAAGACAGTCACTAATATTCAACCGCGAACCTGAATAATCAATTGTTTCAATTTCATTGGCTAAAATCATAACACTTCATTATTATTTATGTATTGTACAATCATATCTTGTGTACTAAATTACGCTCGCCTTACAAAATGGCAAATTCGCGTACCGCTTATTCATTGATCTTCAAGGAAATAATAGTGGTCCCGTTCGTTCATTTGTTAAACTCCAGAAACGAACGAACAGGACCACTATTATTTCCTTGAAGATCAATGAATAAGCGGTACGCGACCAGTACGCAAATTTACCTATCACGTTCAATGATATTGTCGAAACCGTCTATAACTCAACAAGCAAATCAAATTTCGGCTAACCGAAATCTTTCCATTGTATTGTACATGTAACAGTAACACAAGAATACGGTAAATTTATATCAAAATATGGTTATTTCATATTTTAAAAAGTTAAACAAGAAGACACTTGTTACAAAATTTTAGTTTGTTATTAAATTTATTCAATTAAATATTATCTGTGTTTTTATTCTAACCAATAATATAAGTAGATTATTTATAATGTTAAAAAAGGTCTACATCCCTCAACTTTGTGTTGTGTTTACCGGACTATTGCACAGGATTGTCAGAGTGGTGGCAGGAAAAACAAGGAATCAATTGAACCCGGCCTTAGTTCAGCTCTGAATGTAGCAGGGTTGTAAAAATTCACTAGCCCGACGCTACCAAAAATAACTTACTGGCTAGTGCTCTATTTAGCCGTACTAGTCCTGGACTATATCCCTTTCACTTGTTTGTGAATTAACTAGTGACTATATTTATTTCTCAAATTCCAAGCAAAACTCAATCATAACAATAATACTATATCATCACATCAAACTGATTTGTTTCTTTTGGAGACTGTTTATAGAGTGTCCAGGTTAATAAATACGGTAAAACAATTAATTTGTCAATCAGTCGAGGCTATCTCGTGCTTTGCAGTATGGGGTAATAATAACGTAACGTATACAAATCTTCAAGCGGGAATTAAAGGAAGTTAATTTATGTTCAGGAACTGTCCTATTGAATCCATGTCAAAAATCTAATGGCTTCCCAGTCAATTTTACTGGGCAACTTTTTACTGCTAAACGGTCACGTGTGTCGGTCCCTGTGAACGCCTGAGCAATATAAATGATCATCTTAGTGAGAAAATAAGACCTTGCTTAACCTCGCTAGAACCAGTATGAGGGACGACACAACACGCTATTAAAAAATATGTTTCCATCTTCTACAAACTCGGCCATATAAGATGAAACGAAATTTAGGTAGGCCTGGGGGGAAAAAATTGGGATTTTTGAAAAAATTTGATTGTAATTTCTTTCAGTTGCCATGTTAGGATAGCTTGACCTCCGTTTTACGTCATATCGTCCTCATTAAAATTTGAGGACCCCTGTTTTATGTGAAACGAAGTGCATATTTGTACAATATTTCCATGGATTGCGTATGTACTGTTTTTGTAGAGATTTTATATCGGGGTAGAAGACAATGTTTATTGAAGGAATAACTAGGTCGCTCTTCACACGTAGTAGAAAATACACAACGTCCATTGAGAACTTAAATTATTTGTTGCATGATTAATTAGTAGGACTAGATCATGACCAGTGCTTGAAATTAAGATTCTTCTACAACGGCACCAAAGATTTATAAATGCTGTAGCTAAAATTAGCTGACAATGCACAGCTGCCTTTCTTCATATTTAACACATACTGTTGTCATTTTCCGTCATGGAACGTGCAATTTTTATATTTGTAGATAGACAAACGGTCCGTGCAATGATTTTCCGTGTCAATTAATCTGGTTCTAATTGCGTTTGGTGGTACTGTCATAAGTTAAAAATTTACAGAGTCTTCTTGGGGTAATAAAGTCATCGAAATTTGTTTTCCTTTCGATCTTTTAGTTACCCGTGTTCCCAACGGTTGCCATCATGTCAACCATAACTAAAATTTATTTATCAAATTTCCCACGGCTCTGCCATAACCTTCTATAATAAGGGCACTATTTTAGAAAGTAAGCATACTTATGAAAAAATAAATTATAACGGTAGGCTCGGGACACTATTTACAACTAAATCTTGCATCTCTGAATTATTGACCTAATCCCAAGCCCAACCGTCCTTGAATGACTGTATGATATTGAAAAATTATTTCATCCGTCTACATATGTATATAAAAGGCATAACTTTTTGATACGTGTACACATGGACCATGGCGCAATTTAGGCTATTTTTATTACCGTAGCAGTCCGTGTTTGCTTCAGCTTTTATTTTTTAAGACAGTTTTGTCATTATGTCGTGGTAATTTCTAGCATAGGCTGTATGATTGAGATTACTATTTATAAAATGATATTAAATGTTGATTACAATATAATTCCTTAAATTTGTCGGAGTTCGTAGAATGTTTCATTGCTAACAGTTGATTCTGATAGCTCCTGTCTTTGTCAATGTATGTGACATTTTCCCGCTTTTTCTGTCCATAGAGTTGAAAATATATATCAATAAAGCATTCAGTCTTGTATCCCACACACACACGGCAACTAAAATAAAAGGGCAGAGTGCCATTTTAAGTAAGAGTGAAAAGGTTTTTTGGCTGCTGAGTCTTTTTGAACAGATATCAGCTACGCAAATATTGGCAAAATTTTATCTGATAGGCCACTCATCGGCCAATTAGGCTACTGAATGGTAAAACCGATAATCGGACCATCACTAAAAATAAATTTTAAATAATCGCCTTCAAATTATAGTCTCATGATTTCGTTTGGTTTAAAGAATTCCATTCGTAATGTGCACCATGCCAGATTTCACCTTTCGCCAATGTAGGTCATTCACTGTGTGTTGTTGGTTGTAGGTGAAGATTTTTGTGAAATCTCTTAAAATCGACAGCAAAAAAGATTTTTCGGAACATAGATGGATATGATATGTAAGTTTAATGTGTTAGCAGTGCAGAGAGAGAGAGAGAAATGGGGTTTAACGTCCACTCGACACAAACTAGGTCATTTCGTGACTAACACATGGTTCAATTTTATTTCAATAATTCGCTTGCGCGTAGGAGTCTTTAGGTGCGGGAGGAAACCGGAGGACCCGGAGAAAACCCATGAGGTTGGACAGGCGACCCTACTCCTTGTCACGTACAACCGAGTAATCGAGTTAGCAGTGCAGATAACTGAAAATTGTGAATTTTGCCGTCCGCTGAACGGAGTAAACTAGTTATCAACTTTTGCGACAAGCTTTTGACTGTTCGGATGTTAGATGTTACGTCGGCAGAATATCAAAGAGTAACATCTTGCAAGTTGGATTAGTAAATATTCAATTTTTGTCAGATCACTATAACAAAGGGGGTGAAACAGTCTGGAGCGAAACGACCCTCACCCAAACATTTGATGGAAGAAACGATACTACAAAATATATAAGCCAGTGTGATGAATACTAGGTCCGATCTAGAAATGTGGAGTGTACCTTAATCTAAAATTGTCCAGTAGAAATACTCACTGTAATTTTACCACACCTAAATAAATGGCGACAATGCGCGCTTTGTGTCCAGTATTTCATATCCGGTTCCGGTAGAGCGAAAGAGATGGTTGTATATTGGTTTAAGATGAGAATCAATTGAACATGAATAACTCACAATTCGTAATACCGCGGTTTCATAGTAAGTAACGGCATCCCGAAAGACGTGAAAGGTTGGGATTTTTTGTCTATATTTTGGTTAAGATCTCAAAATGTCTTCGACGGAGGATGATAGAATCCAAATGGAGGTGCCACATATTTATGTAGCAGCTGGATATTATTAAATCGTCATGTGTTTCACATTTATTTCAACAACGTGTAGGAAAAAGTACGAATCAATCTGAGGTACGAATGAACTAAGTACGAAACAGCCAAGTTACGAAACAGCCTGCGCAGTGCACAATTCCGAGAGAGATGAAATATATAAGTTTATTGCGTGATTTTTGTTTTGAAATGTATTAAAGTTGGTTGGCCTTGAACTTGCATGTCGCTTTCGTGACCTTGACATTTGATTTACTCGCAGGCTTCAATAGAAATAATGCGTATCAATAAACTAAATCATATGAATTTCGTAGTTTTATGGTATTTTGGATAACAGAAACTATTGAAAATTGTCACAAACATATATTTCTGATTCAAACGATTAATCTAGACTAAAGTATTGTCGATTTTTGAAAGTATTTAAGAACTTTTAAACTAATACACGAAATAACCAGTGTTCCGGCGATGCCTAAGTGAAATTACCGTTTATATCCAAATTTTTGCACCTGTATTTAAACATACATTATGCAAGAGCTAAATCTGTCTATTGCAGTTCTTTCTTTAGGCCTGAAATGTTATCTAAATTATTAATTAGACATTAATTAACCTATCCAGGGCATAATCAACTTTCCTTCACGATTTAATGGATAATCGAGACTATACTGTTTATTGTACTGACTTTAGTAACGATTGTCGAGGCTAGTTGGAAATTTCAGTCGCTTAGTTCTCGGTTCATAGTGGATCGATTTGAATGAAAGTTTCAGCAAATTGCCTTTACATTATCTAGTTTTTAACTATTATAGTGAGAACTGTCAACTCGTTATCTATAATCTCCCATAATGTATCTTTAATATTTTGTATATTGTATGCTGCCCTCAAGGGAGGTTACGATGCAATACTGTTTGTCATAATGTCATAATTTTATGTACAGGTTTATATTGTATGCTCTCCTCAATGGATGTTTCGATACAATAAAAATCTTATCTTATCTTATCTCACGGGAGACGCTCGTGGGAAAATATCGCCCTGACGTCACGCGACCGGGGATTTTCCATCAACACGAATTGCTATGACTTACTTTATTGGTGAATTTGCGCCATTGTCAATCTGTATTTCTACTTTTTATCGAAATAAACAAACAATAGAAACTCGACACCCTCTCCTGATAGAAACCGATTTGACCGTTAGAAAGAATCTTCGGTGAAATCCTATCACGGTGAGTCAATGCACACCGTGTCCATAACGATGTGAGCTGACTTCCACAACCGCGCATGCGCTAAACAGTAATCACACACCAGGAACCAACCATCTCAAACTGTCACACCCTGCATTGGCCGAGTAAGTTCATCGTATATTCTCATTTATAAGAACTATACTCAGCCAAATAAAAAATTTGACACTGATGAATTTCAACAAAATTTTTTTTCTGGTGAGTCAAATAAATTTTAAAGTGTTTCTAACGATAGTAAGTAGTAAGAAGCCTTTAATTTCATAAAATTGTAAAGTCACATGGATCACGTGACTTTTGAGCATATAAAGATGAAAAACCTGAAAAACACGTGCAAACACAACTCGTGAGGTCAATCGATGCAAGTTTGCTTAAACTGAACACGCACACGTAACTTGAACTGGAAAAACAAATTAAAATTGTTATTTTCATCTTTGTTAGAAAATGCCGCGCCTTTCAAATGTAGAACGTCTACGTGCTATAGGCAGGCTCTATGCTGGTCAGTCTGTGGTCACTGTTGCAAGAGCCTTTAATTGTTCACGCCAGACAATAATTAATCTTAGAATGAGAGTGCTTCAAACTGGAATTATTGCCGACCGTCCAAGGGCGGGAGTTCCACGTGTGACGTCACTCCAGGAAGATCAAGCAATACGATTACGTCATCTTAGAAACAGATTTGTCACTCTATCCTCCACAAGTAGAGAGATGTTTGGTGGAAGGGTAACTGCACAAACTGTTCGAAATCGCTTGTAGGCTGCTGGTCTTCGAGCTCGGAGGCCCTATAATGGACCAATATTGACACCTCTTCATCGCCGTAACCGACTTGTGTGGGCCACAAGACACATAAGATTTACTCAAAGTAGTGGAATTTGGTTGTCTTTAGAATGAGAGTGCTTCAAATCTCGATTCACTTTGAGATTTGCCGATGGCAGGGTCCGAGTGTACCGCAGACGAGGTGAACGTTACGCTCAAGTATGCGTCAGAGAAGTTGACCGATTTGGTGGCGGCAGCGTCATGGTTTGGGGTTCTTTTTGTGCACATGGACGTTCTCCTCTTGTTGTTGTCCAAGGGAACTTAAATGCTGTCCAGTACAGGGATCAGATTTTGCAACCTGTTCTTCTTCCGTTTATGCAGAGACATGGTCCTTTACTAACGTTTGAACAAGACAATGCTCGATCCCATACAGCAATTGCTACCCAGAATTTTTTAAGAAATGCCGGTGTCCAAGTCCTGGATTGGCCGTCGCTTAGCCCCGACCTTAATCCTATTGAACACATCTGGGACGAACTGGGTCGACGTGTTCGTCAGCAAGTGAATCCACCACTGAGGTTGCAGGACCTTCAACATGCTCTTGCTGAGTAGTGGCGACGTCTTCCTCGGGTAATGTTTACTAATGTTCTGAGATCCATGAGAATACGTTGTGTAGCAGTACGAGACGCTAGAGGAGGCCACAACCGTTACTAAACAATTTATTCCGATTGTTCTCCAAGTCTGTGAATTTCATTTTGGGGGGTACTGTGACATCACGAACGTTATCAATGTCAAGGACTTTCGGCGAGACGTATTCTTGCTTTCTGTTGATGTCAAGGTCGTATGTGCACAACATAACACTAAAATAGTTGCCTTAAACCAAATATTAAAAATCTAGTCCCATAAATCCCGAGTGTCAAGTTTTTAATTTGGCTGAGTATATTTGTTGCTTAACGGGGAATCACGTGGCTAAGTGGATAAGACGCTGGCTCGCTACCCTGGAGGTCGGGTGTTCGATCCCTGCATTGGCAGAGAAAGTTCACCCAGATCTTCCGGCGTGGGATGAAAAACCGAGGTCCCGTGTACACATTGGCGTGCACGTAAAAGATCCCTTGGCAGTTGGAATTCGATATAAGAGTAGGCCGTAGTGCCGCTGTCCGGGCAAAATTTCCCTCATAGCACACTTTATGGCGTATGCCCGTCTTCATTAGCCCAGTTTAGGAGCAAAACAGTAGGACGTTAAACTCCATTTCATTTCCCTTTATTCTCCTAGGTTGTTAAATTGGAACGCGCAAGCGAATTATTGAAATAATTACCCCCCCCCACCCCAAACACACACACACACACCCACACATACGCGTCTTTCTCTTTCTGTTTTTTAAATGTATAATCTGTTAATAGAATTTAACAGTGCATTTGTAATACAATTTACTACTCATTTTCTTCTCTTTTTTTAAAAAAACAAAAACAAAAAAATAATAGTTATTATATTGGCAGCCCATCGCAGACAATTCTCTTTAAGTTTGGAAATAAAACAGAGTCAGCAAAAAGAAACCCAACCCCAACCGCTAACCGGTATAAGAATGGCGACAACCGACTCTTCTACCTCAGCACTCAAGGAAAGAAAGGAAGGACAGAAAGGAACGCTAAAGAAAACAACAAGTAAAAAATGTAAGTTTTTTTTATTTAACTAGGAAGTTTTCAAACTTTAAAAACCCTTTTTTTTTAAACACATCGGTTATTATCTTATTATATTTTTGTCATTCGTTTTTTTTCTTAGGAATATTGAAAAGGTTCGGGAATATCTATACGCCACGGCATCTTTGATGCTGTGCGCGCCAACGGCCTTAAGTGCAGAGACGGCACACAAAATTCTTGTAATCCGTGACGAGGCGGATAGATTATTAAAGGGGTTTGGGCCTGAAATGCAGTTACCACCCCCAACTAGAGACAAAGGAAAGGAAAGGTGAGTTGTTTCGATTTTTGTTTTGGTTTACATAATGATAAAAACACAAAAAATAATAGCTATTACCAACATTTTGAGAGAACCTAGAGCTAATTCACTTCTATTTTGCGACCCTAAACGCCGACCCATCTGTCTCGAATAGGTATGTTCTTTTTTTTATATAGAACAGTGATTTTTTCACAACTAAACATCATATTACGCTGTGGAGATGCTTGGGATGTTTTTAAAAAGTAGGGTGAAGGGTGGGGGGGGGGAGTCATTACACTTAATTTATACTAAATCAATCAACTTTTTTTTATTTCTGCTGAACTGGATCATGTGTGTACGTTTTGAAAGTCTATACAAGTGTAAGTCTTAGAGAGGCCAACCAAGGCGAAATTACCCTATAGTACCGTATGTCGCCGGGTCGCTTTATTAGAAGCATTGTAGGGGAACCGGTGTACCATTAACACCATTTCATTTCATTTGTTTACATTTGAAACATACTACCGTCAGATAAAGGTCACTAATGTATCAATATATCACATCAGCGGTGTGGAAGTGAAGTGTAGTGTGGTGTGTGTGGGTGTGTGTGTGTGTGTGTGTGTGTGTGTGTGTGTGTGTGTGAGGGGGGGGGGGCGGGCCGTATCTGGTAACTTATTAAATTATTTATGACCGATGAAAAAATACGAGCGTCTCTTTACATGTCAGAAGCTCACAGTGACCACATATGGTATCTATCTATCTTGGTTTGGTTAATGGGGGGGTGATGCATTTATAATACTTTAATAAAACGTTATTTCCATTGAAAAGTACGCACGTGTCTCCTCAAGTTGGAAGCTT